GAGAGGGAGCGAGCGCGTGAGGGAGGAGACGCGGGTGCCGGGCGCCCCTGGCGCACCCGCGGATCTCAGCGCGGCGCGGGAGCCCCGGGCCGGCTGACTCGAGAGCGCGGGGGCGGCCTCCCCGCGCCGGCCGGAGGGAGGCGCACCCCGCACGCTCCCCCGCCGGCACTGGCTCCCGCTCCGTTGCCACCTGACTCCCCCTCCCTCCCGCGGAAGCGCGCCTGGCTCCCGACCCACACCCAGCCTGGGGAGAAATGCTTCTGCTCTCGCTGGGCTGTCCTTCTCAGGAGTTCGATGTGATCATTTCTCAAAATGGAACTGAAAAGTTAAGAGTTGCTTCTTTCTTTCCCCTTTGTAGTGTGCGAAAAAACCTGCGTGCGTCTCCCCGTCTGCAGAATTGTAGTGATTACCGAATAGAAGAGCTACGAAAATAAGTTGGGGGCGGGGGAGGGCGAAAATAAAACTTTATGAATGTTTTCTAAAAAGAATCTTTACCGGTGTTGTGCACTCTATGTGTGGTGTACAGTTCTTTGTTTTAAGACAGTAAGTGGATAATCTGGATAGAAAAAAACTTGATTAATGAATTCACATATTTAGGGAAACTATCCAGTGCTCATCTTGTAGGAGAGTATGGTTTCTAGAAAGTTCCAACTTGTTTTCATGCCGCCGCTGAGTTACGGCTAGAAAATCCCAAAGCAAGTTACAGCATTTCCCAAAATGTATAGATACAGTGTAGCCTTCTCCATACCTTCCCACCCACACACACAGAAGACACACCACGGATTGGGCATCTTGTACATAAAGTAGCTGTGTAATAGCTCAGGAAAAACAACAAGGTTATTGCTCCCTTTAAGAAACCAAATTGACTAGAACACTAAAAAGATTATGATATAAAGCAACTGTACAGGCATGAGGAAATGGTATGATTACCAGGGGGACAAAAATGTCATTTCTATTTTTTATTTTTATGACTTTGCATTTCTCATAGTAATGTTATGTTCAGATAAACTATCATACTAGAATAGAGCCTTGGTTGTCAGTTATCACCAGAAGTAATTTTAGTTTTCTTATATTTCAGATTCTTCAGTGAGTTCTTAGTCATGTTCTGCATTTCAGACTTAAGAGGTGGATCTCACAAATTAAACAACTTTTTGAAGTATAGCTGATGTACAATAAACTGCACATATTTAAAGTATACAGTCTAGGTTTTGATGTGTATACAACCGTGAAACCATTTCTATAATCAAGATAATGAATATATCCATCAGTCTCCAAAGTTTCCTCTACCTTTGATACTCCTTTTGTACTCCCAACTGCATCCCCAAGTCACCACAGATCTGCTGTCACTTAGTTTGCATTTTCCAGAATTTTGGATAAATGGAATCATATAGTTTGTACTCATCCAGCTTCTTTTTCTCAACATAATTGAGTTTACTCTACATTGTTGCACTTAATATTTTTGTGTTGTTGCCAGAGTAGCCCATTGTATGAATAGAACCCTGTTTATCCATTAACCTGTTAATGAACATTGGGATTGTTTCCACATTGAGACCATTACAAATAATGCTACTATGATCATTGGTTTGTGTAGAAGTCTGTGTGTGGACATATGTTTTCCTTTTTCTTGGATATGTATCTAGGACCTTACCATTATTAGACTTTTATACCAAAGTACATGCACTCTAAGGGGGAAACAGAGTTCCTGTAAGGACATGTAGGTAAATATATGCTCTTTCTGTAATTTAAGAGTAAGCTTGGGGCACTAGGGTGACTCAGTCGGGTAAGTGCCTGACTCTTGATTTTGGCTTAAGTCATGATGGCAGGATCGTGAGATGGAGCCCCACATGGGGCTCTGCACTAGGTGTGGAGGCTGCTTAAGATTCTCTCTCTTCCTCTTCCCCTACCCCTCCCCACCCAGCTCATGCTTTCTCCCTCTCTCTCTCAAAAAAAAAAAAAAAAAAAAAAAAAAAAGCTTAGTCAGCTGAGTATGATGAAAAGAGAATAGGACAGAGGAAGTCAAGATACTTGGGTATTAGTCTCAGCAGATAACAATCCCTCTTGATTTAATTTCCTCACCTGTGAAAAAGGTTAGCGCCACTAGGTGGTCTCTAAATCTCCTACCAATGCCAAGACTTCTTACAGAGCTTAGCTCCTCTCCTGTAGTAAACACAACCCAACCAAAGAGATTTGATGGTGGGTTATCTTCCAACCTTCTCCACAGCTTCCAGTTATCTTTATACCAACCTAGGTTACATTTTATGCTGACCTGCTCCTTTTATTTTAAATGGTAAATAGAGGATCACAGCATATACATAATTCAATGTAGATATATTGTTACAAGCGCTGCCTAGGAAGGACAATAAAATGATTGATTCCTGCATTCCTGTAGTTTACATTAAAGATGATCAACGCTAACTTACTTGTAAAGAGGCTGCTGCCAGCGGTAGAGTTAACTAAACCGTGGCGTAGCCTGAAAATGGAATATCATGTCATCATTTAAAATCAGATTTTGAAAGAATACTGAAAAAGATGATAAAATTTTCACACTGTAGTAAGTGAAAAGGTGGGTATGATTCCAGTTTGTAAGTATGCATAACAAATGACTGCAAGGGTGCACCCCAAATAGTTCCTAATTGCTAGTCTCGGATTGTGACATTAGATAATTATTCTTTCTCCTTTATGATTTCCAAATTTGGTACAATAAATCATTTTATTTTTTTAAGTAAAGCATAAAAATTATACAAATAGATGGTTTTATAAAATGATTATGATAATGAAAACGTAGAGGGTGAGTAGAGGCTCCCCTGCATCTTGCACATCAGCTAGTACAGAGGCATTCAAAAATTATTTGATAGAGATAGATAGGATGGCTAGAGTGACAATTTACACAATAGGAAAAGGTACAGAAAAGTCAGGAAAGTCCAGATTTGGACAGAAAGGAACGCCTGCCACTCTGGGGATGGAGAAATCTCTGGAAAAGCAAGAAAGGATCATTGAAAGGGGAGTTTTGGCAAGCTTCCTTGGGAAAATATGCCCAGAGGGAAAGCCAGCATGAGAACACAGGAGTGAACTGAATAAGTGAGAAGGCAGTAAACCTGCCTAGAAAGAATCAGGATGAGCTGGGGAAAGTGTTCTTTCTGTGAATTGAGTGCTCCATGAAGCCAGACTCAAAGCTTTAGTACAGTGCCTGGCACAGACACTCTGTCAACATTTATGGGATAAATGAATGATGAGGATTAGCCGGGATACAAGTGAGGGAGCAATGCAGGAGGGTCTCCTGATAGGTCATATACCAAAGGGGATATCTTAGCTCCCATCTATATACTAATCATAATTTAGAACTACATTTATTAGACTCTATATGCCATAGTAAAAATAGTTACAAAGCAGACAAGACTATAGATATAATAAATGCATTTTATATTTATTATTTGATCCCTTCCAAAGTTGAGGAAATACTTAATGCCCAAGTTCCTTTTCCCCAAACCAACCAGAAAAGAGCCTACAGAATGGAAAAAGTGCCCTGAGTATTCCCCATACAGTGTGGTGTCGGAGCCCGTTCATATTGCCCAGAGAACAGATTGGGTACATCTCTCCCCAACTCAGAGTTCAGTGATGTCACACTGGTAGCTTGAAGTCAGCCATGGTAAAGAGTATTTACAACCCCAAAGGCATCTAAGGCTACAAATCAGGGCTTCCTCACTAGCATACCGCTGCTCCCATAGTGCATACATCATTTCTTTACTGTTCTGTTTCCCCACCTTGGCTAAAAGCCTAGAGAGGACAAGGACCTTGTCTTTCATGTTTACAGTTATAGTCCCAGCATCTAGCACCTGCCTGGCATTGAGTTGATGCCGTATGCACATTGATTGAGCCAATTAGTTACCCATATAGTTGGTTAGCAAGCATTTGAGCCCCCTGAGCTAACAACTGGGTTGGCCGCTCTAGCAGAGGGAAAAAG